GCTGGAATGTGTTTGGGGTGTTCTCCTCCTTTGTGGGTTGTTTCCTTACAGGGGGCATCAGGCTGCTTCCTGAGCTCCTTGTGATGTTCTTAGAAGTGTCCAAGGGGTGACTGTGGATCCATTTAAAACACACCAGGGTTGTCTGTGTTCCTCAGCCACCCCTTTGTCATGTGCTCTGTAGGTACTGGAAGGAAACCCATGCCAGAGCTGTGCTCATGACTTCTTTGGGCTCTTGCAGACCCCCTCAATGGCCAGGTGCTCATGGTGCTCAGCATGGACAACAACTGTTCAGCCACTTCCTTTGACATGGAGTTTTGTGCAGAGAAACTGAAGTCCCTTGGGGTTCAGGTAAGCTCATCCTGTCTTATGTCCCCTGGAGAGCCTGCAGGATCAGTGCTGGCTGGATCAGCAGCCTTTGCACCCACATCACAGGCAGCTTTGCTTTTTCTGCTTTGAGAAGAACTTGTTTTAAGTTCGTCTTCAGTCTGTCCCCCATGGGCTGGAAGTCAACTGCACTGATCTTAAACCCCCACGAGGAAACCCATCAACAGAGGTTCAAGTGAATTGCTTGGAAGTCACTCTGTTGGGATGGAGCATCTCTGGGACAATCTGTTTTGTCTTGTCCTTTGTGATGTCTCTTGTGACTTTCCCTGCACTTTCCAGGGAGATCATAGAATCATAGAAATCATAGAATGGTTTGGGTTGGAAGGGACCCCAAAGATCATCCAGTCCCCTCCCCTGCATAGGCAGGGACACCTCCCACCAGCCCAGGCTGCTCCAAGCCCCATCCAACCTGCCCTTCAACACTGCCAGGGATGGGGCAGCCACAGCTTCCCTGGACAACCTGGGCCAGGCTCTCACCACTCTCACAGCCCAGAATTTCTAGATAACTACTGACAACCTGGTGCCTAGAATATTTAAAACATTTCTATCCAATAGAAACACATTGGATCAGTCTTTATCAAATATCTGGAGGGTAAACACATATTTTAAGCAATTAGCTTCTAATACCTTATTTTCTACAGTTACATGTAGGCAACAAAGTACCTCCTGAATTTCTGAGGCAGTTTCCAGTTAGCATTTGTATTCCCAGCACATCTTGAGATGTAACTCCAGATTTTGGACTGTGCTTGCTGCATGGGTGAGGCTGGAGCTGTGCTCTGCAGGAGGCTGCTCTGGGACACAGGCTGCAGTTCCAGCCTGGCCCCACCATGACTGTGCAGGGTAGTTCTGATGGGGCCAGGAGCCCAAAACTGGAGGGTGGCCTTCATTTGCTGTTTGCTCCCTGAGCAGGTGGCTCCAGATGAGTGGAGAAGGTTAATCCAGGATGCTGTGCTGAAGCCTGAAGTGAGACGGTACCTGTTCTACAACTCCAGGGCTTTCCAGATAGTCATTGCTGTGGTAAGGACAGGGGGGTCTTCTGCAGGGTTGCCATGGACATGCACTTGCTGAGATGCATCAAGACCTACTCCTGGGGTCTACATGGCCAGGGAGGGAGAGGGGTTTGAGTGGGGAGGAGATACTGGTTTTCACACATCCTACTGGGCTCCTTTGGAAACCTCAGTCCACAGAATTTCTGTAGATGGAAGGCAAGGAACTTTCTAGCTCTTGCTGGTGGTCTCACCAAAGTGGCTGTCCACATATGCTGGGGTTGTAGATTATATCTGTAGATATTCTGGTACTGATGCTAATTTAGACAACAGACCAGTCAACTCTGGCTGCTGAGGTAATTGTCTGATCTTGTTTTGTCTTATTCTGGTGAGAGAACTACCCCAACCATCAGCATCTACAGCAAGGCTGATATTTGAGCGTGCTGAGAGGGTGAGAAAATCTGACTCCGTCCTTTTAGTTCCACTCATTTTTTTGGATAGCCATGATCCATGTCTGCTCCTCCTTTCACTAACAGTGTAGGAGCTGGTGCTCAGTGCTTTGAGAGGTTTGGAGCTACATCATTGTGAGAAGATGCTGTGACACACTGCTCTGTACATGTCATATCTGCTACTCCTGCTCAAACTCCTGCTGTCTGAAGCAAAGGTCAAATGATTCCAGCTCTGCCTGGCTTTATGCAACGGCCAAGATTGCCAGTCCTTAGCACAGTCCTTGAGCCCAGTGTCAGTATTTGAGATTTATTGTAATTGAGTGGACTCTGCACCACTTGGAGGGCTTTGACATTGAGCTTTCTAAGTCAAGGGACTGGTAGAAATATTATCAACATGCCCCAGTGAGTGTGTTTCTTATCTAAATGGAATAACTCAGTTGAAATCCTTCCTGGATATGAATCATCATTAATAATTCCCTCTCTGTCTTTGATGACTGGTGATTTTTTATCATCCACTTGGGCTCACTCAGGCCTGCTAGTCCTTTCTTCCCTCTGCTTATTATTGGAAAGAATATCTGTCCTTTCTCACCCTCTGAAAATCTCGTGTGACTGAATTAATGGGAAGGTTTTACCCAGGGAGAAGGGATGGGAAGTTTTATTCTTCCCTTGACTTTTCTCACTTTCATAGTTACCATCACCTCCCTGGGTTTTTACAGGTTTTCTACGTGTCTCTCTGGACAAACATTTACTCCACAATCCAGCTGTGGTCCTTTGGAAGCTACTGGGAGGCCATCCTGCTGGTGACCCTGGCTGCAGCAGCTGTCACCACAGCTGTGCTACTGGTTATAGGGTGTCGCCAGAGGAAGGTAAGAGGAGGCTGGGTGTATGTGGGTGTGCAGGGAGCAGGGCTCCCTTCCACCAAGGTGCTGGGGTTTCTCTCCTAAATGCAGATGAGCAGAATTATCCAGGGAGGAAGGAAGGACGATGGGGTGATGGTGGGTGAGAAGCTTAACATGACACCGTGTGCTGGAGCCCAGAAACCAAGAGGACAAGGAGGGATGGGTTAAAACTGGATGAGGGGAAATTTAAGTGAGACATTAAGAAGAAATTCTGTAGTGTGAGGGTGGTGAGGCACTGGAAGAGGATGCCCAGGGAAGCTGCCCCATCCTTTGGAGTGTTGAAGGACAGGTTGGATGGGGTTTGGAGTAACCTGGATCTAGATGATCTTTAAGGTCCCTTCCAACCCAAACCATTCTATGATTTTTATGTCACTCAGAGATCAGGCTCAGGCAAGGGCTGTGACACAGCCAGGTTATGTGTTGTCATGCTGAAAAACATAGGTGCTGGAGCTTGGTGAGCTGGCTAAATTCACCTGCTGTCACTAGAGACAAAGCAGCCCTGGTGGAAGCCACAGGGCTCAGCAGCAGAGCTGGCTCCTGCCCAGCTTCTGGCAGTGGTCCTTTTGGTCTTGTCTGCCTGTTGCCATTAATAGCACCTTTTACTTGTGTCACTGCAAGGCTCTGGAGTCATGGTCCAGGCCCTACCACACCTGCCTCACAACAGGTACAGAAGAAAAAGGCAGCTCCTAACCCATGGAAGTTGCAATAAAGTTATAAAACTGGACTAGGGAACCAGGGAGATGATGGTGGCATGAGGAGCAACCAGCCTGCAGCCCCCACTGCTTGGCTGTTGTCAGCTTTTTTGTGTAGGAATCACACGAGTTACGAGGTTTCTAAGGAATGATCTGCAGAGTAACATTGGAAAAGCTCAGTTCAAAACCCAGAGGGGTCTTTGCACTGATCTGAATGGACTTTGGAGCAAACCTCTGGTGACAGCTGTGCAGTGATTCTTCCAAGGGGAAACCTGGCATGTGTGTGGGTGCACAGAGGTTCAGGAGGGGAGTCCCTCACTCAGGGGCTGCTGGGGGTTGGAAGAGAGAAGGTGATACTGGGTGTCAGTTCCACGCTGGGCATCTCATCTATAAGAGGAATAATCCTCAGTGTGATTTCTGTCTCCACAGACATCTGCTAGTGCTGGCTTGGCTGACCCTGGTGGCTGGTGACAGTCCTACCCTGACTGCAGGCTGCTCTTGTCACTCTTTTCCTTTCAGAAATGTGGCATTTGGGATTATCCAGCTGGCCCAACTTTTCCTGTCAAGCATGTTAATTTTTCTTGCCTTCTTTAACAGATAAACACGAATACTGACTTGAGGCTGGCAGCAGTCAATGAAATCTTCATCAAACACAGTTTAATCCTGGGGATTACTGATGTCTTGGATGGGCCACACAATGTCCTGCAAGTATCCTCCTGTAGGGAATCATTCCTGTCCTTCCTGGGTAGCTGATGATGTGGAGGCATTTATTAATCTTGTGCTCCATGAGGATTTCCAGAGGGTGGGAATCCCAGAATGTGTTTGTTCTCCTATTGGATGGCATGAGGGATTGGGTCATTTTTCCTTCTGGATCTGGGGAGTCAGATATGCCCAAAGGCAACTGGAAATAATGGCTCTAAAAGATAAAAGTGGGATTAGTCCTTTGGGCAGATAATTCTTCCTGGAAGTGTATTATACTTCAATGCCACTGATGATTCCTGTGATGAGCAGGGTGATGGGAATGTGCCTGTGGCAGGAAAACAAAATAAAGTAACATGGAGAAAATCAGAGTCCTCATCCCTGGGCTCTTTTGCTGCTTTTCAGAGATGCCTTTTCTGGACTGAAACAGGCTGGAAAAAGGGACAGGGAATGCTGCAGCAGGGCTGGTGGGGTAAAGTCATGCAGAGAGAGGAGGAAGAACCTGAATGGCATGTTTGTTCAGACCAACTTCACCTGCATGTCCCAGAGCTGCCAGAGAGCAGAAAATAACCCAAGGATTTATTCTTCCTCTGTCTGCTCCAGTGTCAGATCAGTTTTAACCCTCTATCTTCTAGGCTGCTCCTGAGTCCCCTTGATGGTGGCATCTTGAGTAGACACACAATGGCAGATCTTTGGCTGCTTTCTGGGGGGCTGCTGCTCCCAGGGCTGGCAGGACTGGTCCCCACCACCATGCTGTTGGTAGGCTCTTTGTGCCTCTGTCCCTCAGGCAAGCACCAGATCCAGCAGATTTTGTAAAGAACTGATGGATTGAATCCCTAAAAACAATGGAAGGAAAGCAGGAAGGGGTTTAGGGGAGCTAAGTCAGTCAATGTGACCCACCAGTTTATTTAGATGTAGGGCCACTGAGATGTGGGATGGCCCTGGGTTACCCTGGCTGGAGGAGGTGTGTGAGGAGGACTGGCTGCCCTCTAGGGCAATGTCCCCCTTCCCTGCCACCTCTCTTCTCTTTCCCATTAGCTTGAGATTTTATCTTTGCTCCTGTTGGCTTTAAACTAGCCCTGCAGTGTGTTACTTGGTTCCTGTCCGTCCCGAGCGCCCTGTGGGCACCAGCTGCTTCACTCTGCCTCCTGCCAGCACCAGGCCACGATCCACAGGGAAGGAGAGGGCTGTGGAGGGGGAAGCATGGGAAGAACCTTTCCTTAACCCTGCCCATCCCAGCTGTGGTTCGTGCACTTCAGCCCCGAGCGCTGCCTCCAGTCCCTGTCAGCCCACGTCACTGCCCTGCGGAGCACACAGGAGGTAAGGGACAGCAGCAGGGACAGGAGCAGGGACAGGAGCAGGGACAAGGGGTGGGGGGACAGCAGATGCAGCCCCAGCTCCCATGGTGGCATGTGCAGCTCCCCCCTTGCACCTGGCTTTGCTGGGATGGAGGTGGACAAAGGAGAACGGAGGGTTTGAGGTTCCTCCCAGGCATCCCCTGCTGAGAACTGGGAGCTGGACAGACTGGGAGGTGGGTAAATTGCAACTGTTGGTGCCCAGTCCAGAGGGAATTTGTTTAGGTCCTGTAGTACGTGCATGACTGGATGGTTAATTGTCCAGCTCTAATAAAGGGAGGTCACCAAAAATCAAGGGCAAATTTTGAAAGCACGTGTCACAACCTGAAATAACTGATACCTTGAGCTGTCCTCCTGGAATAAATGGGCCAGCCTGAGGAGTGAGCAAGCACTGTCCTGGGTTAGCAGTGTGCCAAGGTTGTCCTCTTGGCCTTCAGAAAATGTGTTCCTCTCTGGGGGTGTATAAATACACACACACCCTGCAAGGTCCTGCCCTGAGCTGCCCCTGCTGCCCGTGGGCCTGGGATGAGAGGTGAGGGGATGCAACCCCCCAACATCAGAAGGCTGCTCATCTCCCTGCATGAGCTGGCAGATGCAGATGAGGGGTGGGCAGTAACACACCAGCTCACACTGGTGGGTAGAACTCACCTAGTTTTGAAGGATAAGGTTCTCCATGCCAGGTGTGACATGGTGCTGGGAGCAGTGGCTGGCACCAGGCTGTGGGATGAAGACACTCAGCTCCCAGTGCTGGGCACAGCTCTTGGCCAGTGCTGGTTTGTCCCCTTGGGATGGTGACTCCCAGGAGTGAAAAAAACCACCGTGTAGGATGAACTCATGTCCTTTAAAGGCTGCCCTCAGGATCCCCAGAATCTCTTTCTCTTGCAGTTGGGTTTGAAGCACAGCCTGGGCCAGCTCTGTGTGGTTGTGGAGGTGGTGGTTCAGCCTGACCAGGGGCCAGAGACAGAGCAGAAGCAGGGGATGGAGGAGAACCAGGCTTCGTGTGAAGAGTCCCCTCTTCTGTCTGCTGCAGTGAAGCCAAAGAAAGAGCCTGTGACATGCAACGAGCTGCTCCACCTTGTTCCTGAGGGCCCACCAGAGGTAATGAGGAATAACCCTCCCTGAGGGACAGAGGTGCCAAATCACCTCCCCAGGCACCTTGACTCCAAAACTTGTCCCAGCATCCCCCAGCTGTCCGTGGGGACATCTTTTTCACTAGGATCACCTGGAAGCCTGGAGGTCCACGTAGCCCTTCTTCAGCCCTGACACTGCTGAGCAGTTAATGCTCACTGAGCAACTAGTGCTTAACCCTTGAGGAATTAGGCTCTTCCTTGCTGGTGGCCTCAGGTCCCTGGTTGGAATGTATCCTCTCCCAGGGCCCATGCAGGGACCCAGCATCTCTGTCCAGACATGGCCATGCCCAGCCTTTGTCTCCTCCATGGAGGATGCCTTCAAAGACTTGTGCCATGCTGAGCAACAAATGTGTCCTCATTCCTGCTCAGCAAGGAGCTTCAAAAGGGATGGTTTTGATTTATTTTCCAGTTTTCTGCTCGCTGTTACCAAGCAAATTCAATGCAGGTGACATCCCTGCACAGATTGAAGGTCTCTGGCTGTCTACAGGCAAAAACAAGCACCAGGAGGAGGTGACAGAGCAGACAGGTCCTCAAGCATCCTGGCTCACCCACCACTCAGTGGTCATTTCATGTCACTCCCCTTTGGGGACCGTGTGCCAGCACTGCTGACCAGAAGGGGATCTGGGACAGTTATATATGCCATTGGCTCCTGTCCTGCTTCTTTCAGACAAGGACAGTCCTTGAACGAGGGAGCAAATGGTCTTTCATGCATCATCCACCCTTCCTGCAGGTAGATGTCCTGTTCTGACACCTCTTGTGCTCATTCCAGGTGATGGCCCAGCAGCTCCTGGTGATCTTCAGCGGATGCTACGTCCGGCTGCTGGTGACGGGCCAGCTGCCCCGGGCAGTGGCAGGGGGACACCTGGAGCACACCAGTGTCCCCTGTCTCTGCCAGTTCATCAAGACCACCATGCTCAACATGCACCAGAGCTGTTTCATGGGCAGGTGACCAAAGGGGGCTGGAAAACACTGAAGTAAAAGCTCTCCAAAGACAGCGGTGTGAAGAAGCAGTGGGGCAGAAGGGAGAGCTGTAAGCATTCATCCTGGACTTACTGGGGTGAACAAGTGGAAATGGGACTAATAAAACATGCAAGACACTCACCAGGAGGGTGCTTGCCTTTGAGACCTGCCTCACAGCAGCTTGGTGTGGAGGAGCTGCTCTGGGGCTCAGCAACAGCCCAGGGGCAGCCTGGAACTCCCAGGAAAAATGTCCCACTTCTCTTACCTGCAGACCCCAGAGAGCTGTGGGCAATCCCTGCAGGTACCTGCCCCAGGCTTTCCAGGTGGAAGTTTTTTACTAGGAGGAAGTCTAGGAAATGGGAAGACCCCATTTCCAGATGAGTTTTTTTACTAGAAGGAACACAGAGAAAATCTGTGATAGCAGTGATGCAAACGGGATGTTTGCTCTGGGTTGTGTCTGTGTCATGTGTCTGTGTCATGTCCCTGGTGACAGGGACCTTTGTCCTGTGACAGACATGGGGAACAGCTCAGCTGGTGACTTGGCAAACTTCCCACTTTTAGGAACCAGCTCTGGATGGTGCTCAGTACCTTCTACTTCTGCTGCTTCCCCTGGGGGGATGGTGATGGGCATCTTGATGGGCCACAGGATTAAGCCTTAAAGAGGGCACTGGGCAGGGCATCCTGGAGCACAGCTCTTTTCAGACTCCACTTTTTGCTCCATTTTTGGAACCTCCTTTATTTTTCCTTTCCTCCTTTCCCCCCTCTGCATTTGCACAGAGTTTGTGAGAGGAGCCAGTGGTGAGTAGAAGACTTCAGCATTTTGCTTGGAGTCCATGAGGGAATGGGAGGTGCTGTGAGCCTATAAGAGGTTGTGTGCTCAGGTGGTGCCCATGACTGGTGATCTGCTGCATGGCCCAGGAACTGCTGGTGTCCTCCTCTGTCCCCAGAGCCAGGTGTCTGTCTGCATGAAGGTGACTGGATGCACCTGACCACACAGTTTGGTGGTGACAGCTGCCCTAGGAAGTGCCAGGACCCTGGAACAGGCTGCCCAGAGAGGTTGTGGAGTCCTTCACTGCAGATATTCAAACCCCCCTGGACACGTTCCTGTGTGATGTGCTCTGGGTGCCCCTGCTCTGGCAGGGGAGTTGGACTGGGGGATCTTTTGAGGTCCCTTCCAACCCCTGGGATTCTGTGATTCTGTGACAATGGTCAGAGTTGAAGGGTCCTAAGGTCGGTGGCTGAGTGTGCATGGGAGACTGGGGTCTGTTCTCTGCCTCCCAGCCCCCCTCTCCCCCAGGGCTTGTGTCTCTCCCACCTGAACAAAGGTGGGACAGGACAATCCTGCACAAAACCAGCACGTTTCAAAATGAAGGTCACTACTTTGTGCACATCTCTCAATGCTGTAGATCCCTTCCCACCACCGAGCACCCCCCCTCGTGCAATATTGCACCAGACAAGTTTGATATCAAAGGCCAAACCATTGCTCAAGGTGCAGCAAGAGGCTGAGGCCCAGAGCTGACATCCAGCTCTGCCAAGGGCTCTGTGATGTCTCTGCCCTCTCTCCTGTTGTTGGAATCATGGCATTGATGAGACAAGGTCCATCTCTTCCTCCCTGAGCAGCAAGGCAAACCTCAGGCCCAGTGCTGCCAATGCATGATCCAAAGTCTGTTCAAACAGTGGAACGACAGCAAACCCCTTCCAGAAGAAACACCACCAGGCTCCCAACCAGCCTCTTTTCATCCATTTTTATTTCTGGTTCAGCTTGGGCTGTCACAGGAAGGGGTCAGGCAGGTTCCTCCCCATGCATGTGGGGTTTGTGACTCTGCTGTCATTGCTCTGTGACACTGGGGGCTTTGCTGGGGGGGGGGGGGGGGGGG